GTGCTCATTGTCATAATCAGGAAATAACGGAAAAAACGCCTCGGCTTTTATATTTCAAACAACAATTCGACCTCGGAGGTTATTCAGCAACATTCAATGATAAATTTATTTCTTAAATCATACCTATTATAAGTATGTATATTATTATGCCTATTATAATGTAAATTATTGTTTCATTCAATAAATATACCAGTTTAATTTTGATTAATACAGAATGTTGTCTTATTTGGCTAATTTCTCTCTAACCAATGGTGGTCAGATAGGACAGGTTTTACTGCAAAACACAAACAGAAAGATTGGTATGAGTGTTTTAGAGATCTATTCTAAACTTTTTATGACCAGTTAGTTAGGGGTGTCCACACTGTGGCTTGAACCTACAACTGTTAGATTTGAAATCCAACTCTTACAACTGAGCTAAAGGGTTAACCCACTACCGTATAAGTGGAAATTTTAGCGAGACGCAAATTTAGCGATTTCTACCTAAGAACTAGTATTTTATTTTTAGCGAGAAGTAATTTAGCAAATTTAATATGTTATCTAAAGAAGCTATTACAAATAAAACGCAATTAATATTTAGCGATATTCAATTTTAGTGATGTCAGCACCCTTGCTAATAATGCCAAAATTAAATCCTCGCTAAAATTTCTACTAATACGGTATCTAGTGCTAGTAGGAGCGTGGCCTCACTATTTACAACACATATAGCCACTTTAAACTCTGTTACACATCCATGAATTTACAATAATAAGTGATTCCTTTAAAACATCATACCAATTTTAAAATATTTAGATAATTATGAATTATGCAGGGCTTGACATTAACGCTTGTCCGCTTGTCCGGTACCAATGAAAAACAATTACGGACAAGTGAATATTGCTGGGCACTTGTCCGATTGGACATTTAGTGATTTTTCATGTATAGAAGTCTTTGAATAATAATAAAAAAAACAACTATTGATTTAATTGATAAGTTTATCGAATACCTGTCATTTAACGGAAGCAGTACATAAACCCGAATTTCGATCCCGATATCAATCGCTATGTAAGTTGAAGTTTAACACTTGATCGGGATCGATATTCACTAATTGCATCCATACCGTTGCATGGCATAGATCTTGCGATGTTTGACGATTTGGAATAAATCTGATTGAATTACAGATTCACTTGCAAACATTTATGTTGTTGTCAGGTCAGGTTGTGTAGATAAAATTTTGCTTTATATGTGTTTGTCTTTTTTATCAATAACAAGACTAATAAATCAAGCACGTTTAATTTTTTTTTTTCATTTATGTAATAGTTTTCAAGTTGACAGAATAAGATATTCACTGAAAATTTTTTCGGACAAGTGAAGTTGAAGTTCGGACAAGTAAATATCTTGGTCACTTGTCCGAATGGACAAGTATGGAAAAAAGTTAATGTCGAGCCCTATTATGCTGCAAAACTAGAAGAAAATCCTTGTCAAGGTGAGCTAAAAGTGCTGCTTAATTCTTCTAGTGTATATTGGTTTATTCAAATCTGATTTACTGATTTTTATTTCAAGATTCTAAATCAGACCCTTTCCCTTTCGTTGCAATTTTTTCAGTATTTTAACCAACACAAATGAATACATCAATCAGGATTCATCTTACCAACACAAATGAATACACCAATCAGGATTCATCTTACCAACACAAATGAACACACCAATCAGGATTCATCTTACCTACACAAATGAACACACCAATCAGGACTCATCTTACCTACACAAATGAATACACCAATCAGGACTCATCTTACCTACACAAATGAATACACCAATCAGGACTCATCTTACCTACACAAATGAATACTCCGATCAGGACCCATCTTACCTACACAAATGAATACACCAATCAGGATTCATAAAAATGTTACCAAGGTAAAATGAACACAAATGAATCTTACACTACACAAATGAATACACACAATTTAAAATACATTATTTTTCCTGCAAAAATGAACACATAAAAGGACTATATATACCTACACAAATGAAAAAAAGGATTCATAATTTTTATAAAAAGTGACCAACACCTAATGACATCTTACCTACACAAATGAAATGCAAATCAGATTCATTTACTGATGTTATACACAAATAAATACACCAATCAGGATTCATCTTACCTACACAAATGAATACACCAATGTTTTTTTTCATATTCAGTTTTGAACACACCAACTGACAACATAATACACAAATGAATGCACCATCAGGACTCATTTTACCAACACAAATGAACACACCAATCAGTTCTTTCATCTTACCTACACAAATGAATACACCTACCAATCATAATTTACATTTTGCACAAATAAACACACCAATCATGATCATCTTACCTACACAAATGAATACACCAATCAGGACTCATTTTACCTGCACAAATGAACACACCAATCAGGACTCATCTTACCTACACAAATGAATACACCTATCAGGCCTCATTTTACCTGCACAAATGAACACACCAATCAGGACTCATCTTACCTACACAAATGAATACACCTATCAGGACTCATTTTACCTGCACAAATGAACACACCAATCAGGACTCATCTTACCTACACAAATGAATACACCTATTAGGCCTCATTTTACCTACACAAATGAACACACCAATCAGGACTCATCTTACCTACACAAATGAATACACCTATCAGGACTCATCTTACCTACACAAATGAATACACCTATCAGGATTCATCTTACCTACACAAATGAATGCACCAATCAGGACTCATTTTACCTACACAAATAAATACACCAATCAGGATTAATCTTACCTACACAAATGAATACACCAATCAGGCCTCATTTTACCTGCACAATTATGAACACACCAATCAGGACTCATTTACCCTACACAAATGAATACACCTATCAGGCCTATTTTACCTGCACAAATGAACACACCAATTCAAAATCATCTTCACCTACACAAATGCTTTGTACACCAATTTGGCCTCATTTTACCTACACAAATGAACACCAATCAGGACTCAATCTTACCTACACAAATGAATACACCAATCAGGACTCATCTTACCTACACAAATGAATACACCAATCAGGACTCATCTTACCTACACAAATGAATGCACCAATCAGGACTCATCTTACCTACACAAATGAATACACCAATCAGGACTCACCTTACCTACACAAATGAATATACAACAATCAGGATTCATCTTACCTACACAAATGAATACATCAATCAGGACTCATCTTACCTACACAAATGAATACAAAGTCAGCATACCTTACCTACACAAATATATAAATAACAGGATTCATCTTACCTACACAAATGAAACATCAAACAGGACTCATCTTACCTCACAAATGTCAATACACCAATCAGGTGTGCTTACCTACACAAATGAAAATAACAAGAAATCAATTCATCTTGTACACAAATTGAATAACAATTAACATTATCTTACCTGTCAGGATTAAATCTTACCTACACAAATGAATACACCAATCAGGACTTATCTTACCTACACAAATGAATGCACCAATCAGGACTTATCTTACCTACACAAATGAATACACCAATCAGGACTCATCTTACCTACACAAATGAATACACCAATCAGGACTCATCTTACCTACACAAATGAATACACCAATCAGGACTCATCTTACCTACACAAATGAATACACCAATCAGGACTCATCTTACCTACACAGGACTCATCTTACCTACACAAATGAATACACCAATCAGGACTTATCTTACCTACACAAATGGATACACCAATCAGGACTCATCTTACCTACACAAATGAATACACCAATCAGGACTCATCTTACCTACACAAATGAATGCACCAATCAGGACTCATTTGTTGTGTACTGGTTGATGACGCCAGGACAGAAAATAAATGATTGGACGACGTATCTTCAAAACATCCACGGTAAACTTCGTCCCCGTACTTCGTGGTCTGTAGGTTTATCTTAGATCTTCCTGGTAAACTATGGTCCTGAAGGAATGATAATGTTTATATTTATAATTCAAGTGTGCAATGCTACACTTTTATGCTAACAATCTTGAAATCATTATTTAAGTGACAGGTGACAACAGAATGGTTCAAGTACATGTACACATTTATACATTTAAGCAAAGCAATGTTAGGTATTTAATGTAAATTGGCAAAAATTGCACTGTTAATACAATGAATTGTGTAACTTTTTAAAAAGTTAAAATTTACATCTATTTTGTTCATGATTGAACTTGCAAAATTTTTAATGTAAATGCATACAAAACTTTTGCACTGGGTAAATTATCAAAAGTATGATAAATTTTATTAATAAAAGAAGTATTCAAGTCCAAAAGTCCATTAAATAATATATATGAGGAACAAAGCTAACAAGGACAAATGTTAACTAAATAATATAGAGTCTACATAAATAAACAGTTTAGAACCTGATAATTTGCAGCAAGTTTTACAAAATGAAGTAAAGAAACAGAAAATGGCTCCTTAGGACACATGTCTCACCTGAGTAACTTTTGTGATGCCGTTCTTCACCATAATTCCCCTCTTCTTATATCTATTGTGGCCCCCTAACACCCCCCCACCCCCGTGTTGAACACTGACCCCCTACTTTCTCTGCGATTTTAAGTCATACAGTATGAGTACTCATCCAAAATATACTTCTCAAAAATTTCATGATTTAAAAAATTTTACAAGTTACACATCTTTATACAGTGGGTCGCTATGGCAGTTTTAACTGAAAACTTCATACAATTATGATAAAAAAATATTTACTTTGGAGTCGTTTCAATATAAAGGGTTCAATGTTTGCAAACAAGCTTTTTTTAATTGTTTTCATGGGCATAATTTCAAAGCTAACAAAATAATATGGTAGAAAAAGCATTAATTTTTAAAATGAAAGGTATATTGTGTTAATGTGTGGGGCAAGGGTATCATGAAATATTGATTTCATCATTTTTACAAAATAAAATTTCATCATTACATTAAGACAATTCCTAACCAAAACATAAACTCTGCCATTTTCAATCTGTCCTCTGCTCTCAGCATGTCAAATGGTTCAGTGTACTTAATGATCCCTGGATCATCTGCTTTTCCTCTGATTCCATTATATATGCCGTCTGAATGCTGTCTTGATATTTTCAGGAAAGCAAAAATTAACTACAAAAGAAAGGAGAGACCAGTGTGTAAACTTTCAACTGTTGCAAAAAGGATGTTTGTACAGGCCCTAAAAGTTGCTACATGTACTACATGTATACCTTGCATAATATACTGTAAATGTATTATATTTTGCATGTACTGTATTTTGAAGAAATAATTTCTTTCAGCAAGTTAGTATAGTTCAGACACTATCTGAATGTGCTAGATATAACACTTGATGGCTCACCTGAGCACTGGTTAAAAAGAAAAACTTTAATCAACTATTGTGTACCCATCCAGTAAGGCTTTGGGTCAATTACTTTGGAATGTAACTAATTACTTTCAATTACTTTTAAGGAATGACTCTAATTCTTGGCCAAATTATCGAGTATAATATGGTTTGGGTAAGTTTACGTTTCATAATCCATAAAGTGGCATAATCCATAAAGTGGATTATAAAAAAGCGTAGACTGACCAAAACTAGATTATACTCGATAATTTGGCTAAGAATTAGAGTCATTCCTTTTAATTTAATTCTATAATAATTTAACAACTTAGGATGTAAAATTATATTGCTTTTCAAGAGTTCAAAGAACAAAGTATGTTATTGGCTCCATGCGGCCAAGGAATTTTACTTTTTTTAAACTACCATTATTAATGCAAGTCCCTTATGTTTCGTTTTCAATAAGATCAAAGCTAAAATCAAATTATATAAAATTGACGTAATATGTTACAGTACACATTTAATTATAACACCATACAGCAGTTGCCATTAAATTCCATTTTTCATGAAAAATCAGTAAATGTTAATGAAATTGAATATGTTCCCAAGCATAAACCACTTTTATTTTTTGTGTAATAAAAATCTTCAGTTCAATTAAAAATTCGTGTCAGTTAATGAGTTGACATCAGATTCATAATAAAAAGTAAGTCCAGAAATAAACAATAAAATTGTGAGCGAATGCTATGAATATAGCTCTGATGTAAATAAGCACTAAAATTTAATATATATGCAAGTTCAATAACAGGCAGTCACACAGAAATATATGAAGTTGACATTAGATTCATATAAAAATTAATCCCAATAATGGCATGCCTCAACAAATTGTGTAATAAAATTTCAAGCATCCGCTATGAATAGCTAATGAGAAAACTGTGACGAAAATTTGTTATGTGTAAAACAGACAGATGCACAGACAAATAGGAAGTTAACATCTGATTTGAAAAAAATGTATCCCACAATATGGCATACCTTAAAAAAGATTTTGTTAAAATTTCAAGCATCTGCAACGAGAAGTTGCTGATAAAACTGTGATGAAAATTTCTTATGTATGAAACAGACAGATGCACAGACAAACAGGAAGTTGACATCGGATTTAAGTGAAAATGAATCCCAACATATGGCATGCCTCAGAGAAGGTTGTGTTAAAATTTCAAGCATCTACAATGAGTAGTTGCTGAGAAAACTGTGACGAAAATTTGTTATGTATGAAACGGACAGACACACAGAAAAACAGGAAGTTGATATTTGATTTGAGCGAAAATGTATCCCACCATATGGCATGCCTCAGAGAAGATTGTGTTAAAATTTCAAGCATCTACGATGAGTAGTTGCTGAGAAAACTGCGACAAAAATTTGTTATGTATGAAACGGACAGACGCACAGACAAACAGGAAGTTGACATCGGATTTGAGCGAAAATGTATCCCACCATATGGCATGCCTCAGAGAAGATTGTGTTAAAATTTCAAGCATCTACAATGAGTAGTTTCTGAGAAAACTGTGACAAAAATTTGTTTCGGACGGACACACAGACACACGGACACACAGACACACGGACACACAGACATACGGACAGACACACAAGGGTAAAACAGTATACCCCCCTCTCCTTCGGAGCGGGGGTATAAAAATATGCAACATTAGCATTCATTACTTTATGCTGGTTTTACACAATATTTTAGGAAATTAATAACATCAACAGCTGTTTTAACATGTGAACACAAACAGAATCATACAAGATAAAATTTACATATGTTTATAATTATTTTTCAACTTTATAAAATCCATTTAAATTAAGAATGAACCATTCTAGTGTCGGGAATTTCATTGATTGCATGGTTCAGAATATACATATATAGCATTAATCCTTCCTCATTATATGTGCATTTGATGGTGACGTGATATATAGAATATCACACTGCTGTTTTGATCTCGGCCCTGGTATCAGCCCAAGCGGTTGGTATCGGCCCAAGCCCGGAGGGCGCGGGCCGAGACCACCCGAGGGCTGATACCAGGGCCGAGATCAAAACAGTGGTGTGATGTTGTTTATATCATATATCTAAAACCAAAGAATAGAACACATATCTATTTTTTTTATCAAAAAGTTCATATAAAATTGTCGTAAGAAAAATAAAGATATCTTTCTTTATTTCGTTGTTCCTGAGAAGTTGCTTGTCGATCAATAATCATTTATGAGAGAGATTCGCATTGTCTGGTCATTGAAAAGAAAAGTCCTGGTGTTTTGAAACACTTCATGTCGAAGCACATTAGATAACAAAGATTTAAAAGGTTCCAAACTGAAAAAAATATTCTACTTTCACTTTGGATTGAACCGGGGTTACAACTTCTTCAATGAATCGTTAAAAAATTTTAAGTCTGAGATTTATAGCTACTGTTTGTTTTGTTTACAATATATATTCACTTAAAAATGGCTTATTTAATAAATGAAAACATGGTATTGTCTTACTGTCGAAGCAAATTAACGTCCATTTTTTTCAAAACATGACTTGTTGCTGTCCTAGATGTAAACCAGGGTTATCTCTCACACGTCACAAGTGCTATCATTTGGCGCACTTTTTAAAACATTTTTTTAACATTCTAACATAAATAATTGTTATACCTTTAGAAATTTGTTCCTATACAATTCTATATGAAAAAAAGTCTAACATTTTTAATGTTTTGCTGAGCGGGCATAAAAAAATCGATGTTGGACCGCTGAGTGAGTATTGGACCGCTCGGAGAGATGTTGGACCGCTTACGTCACAGAGTGGGCGGAGCTTAATCTCATTTTCATTCGCTGGTGTTAAACAGTGATAGATCTGGTGTTACATCACGGAATAAAGTACAAAATACATGTAAATAAAAAAATAAATAAAATAAAATGAAAAGTATAACAAAACATTTATTGACAGAGTTCTCCGGCAAAATGCGTTTTGTCGAACCCTCGAACCAAACTGTCTGCCTTCGGCCTAACGGCCTCAGGCAGACAGTTTGTGTTCTTGGGTCCGACAAAACGCATGTTGCCCTCGAACTCAGTCAATAAATGTATAATATTTTTTATAGATTTTGGTTTAATTTCTCGATATATTATAATTCTTTTTAATATTTTAAATATGAATTTTACTCTTAATTCACACAAATTAAACAGAAATAATGATTTGAAATTTGAGGGCGAGACAGCCCCTTGACGACGGGCCAAGACTAATAGAATCATTCATTACTACGAGTGTGGGATAGTGAAATTCCACCGAGGGGACAAGATTCAGTCTAGGACGAGGCTGTGCCGAGTCCTATTCCGTGAATCTTGGCCCCGAGGTGGAATTTTACTATTCCCACACGAGTATGTAATGAATGATTATTTTTCTCGCATAATTTTATCCTAAATAACGCTCTGTCAATGACGTCGCCATGATGGGGCTAAAAAAATATTTTTTAATTTTCCATTTAATTAAAAATCTTCATACACCATCGTAAAGAACGTACCTTGAAATGGTTTACACATAGTGTAAACCGACAAAATAATTTTCAGTCGTGTAAATTAATCAGAAAGATAAAAACTTTGAATAAACAACTTATCTATCCGACAGCATAAAAGAAGAATCATTCCGCGATCTAAAAATAGTGCCATTAAAAAAGTGAAAATACGACAATATTTTGAATGAAAATAAGTTTATATCAATAAGTTAAATGACAACAATTTAATTATGTGTTATAATTTTTTACATTGTTACAATTTCTTTAAATAATGACTGAATGTTTACGTTCTCGTTCGTGGCGTAGTAATACACAGTGTAAGACAGAAAAATCTCACACTGCTGTCTCACACCGGACAAGTCAATCTTACACTGGTGATTATGTGAGAAAGAGATACCTCAGCCCTGAGGGCGAGACAGCCCTACTTCCCAGGCGCTGTATCAGGGCTGATACACTACTAGGTATATCATATAAAGGATAAATCATACATATGTATTTTAAATAATCTTTTAAGATATGCTTTTATTCAAAAGTAGTAAGACTTTACAATTATATAGCTATCACCAGCTTCTTGTACTGTCTAGTACGTGATGGTAGTCCTGATGGTTTTTTTGGGGAGGGGGTCATAACGTAATGTGTCTTGAATCGTTCCGCATTTAAGCATTTGCGAACCTTATTTACCACTGTACTTTGCACAATTTATACTCGAGAATACCCAACAGTCATTAATTACAACTTATAAAAAAAAATTTTTTTGTTCTCTCAGATGACGTACATGTAGATGGACCCTAAAATTTGATTGAATTGGATTTCATAATATGCTGAAAGGGGGATACGACTGAATAAAAAAAACATGGAATAACTTATTATGTCATATCCATATGTTCACAAGTTCACAAACAATAATTAGTTTGTTCTGCATTCATTAAATAAATTGTGCTTCATTCATTTTCTTTGGATATAAATAGGCAAATAAATGGAAAAAAGAAATGGTTTTCAAAAAAAACAGTCTGATAAAAAATTACAAAACAAAATTCACACCTTTCTAATCGCACCATCATGAACGATTAAAACCACAAATGATTGAGTGTGATACATACACGATCCTGCACCGGTACATACAAGAATGATTCTACACAATTGGTTTGTTAGCAATACCATTGCAGCTACTGTATGAACAATTAAGATTGGACACTACCCTACCATGGTTCCACATAAGCTTCAGATTTCCAGGACCAGTCAGTTTTAAGAAGATTTATCCTAATATATATATCAAAGTAAAATTTGGATTCCTTATTGTGTCGCCCCAACTAAGAGGATCATTTTTTATACAATTAAGAAACAGCACTACCCTAAAATGCTTCCACATATAAGTTTCAGCTTTATCTCCGCTTTGTCCTTCATTTTAAGAATTGCCATCCCCTTCACACAAGGATGCTTTGTATCAAGTTTGCTTAAAATTGGCCCATTACTGTTCTTGAGAAGAAGGTAAAGATGTGAAAAGTTTACAAAAGGACAGAAAGATGGATGGATGATGGCCTGGGTAATCAGAAAAACTAACTTGAGCTTACAGCTCAGGTTAAGATAAAAAAGATTTTTCTTCCATTAAGTGGTGATGTATTACACTCTTAAATTTACTGTTTACTTGTGTTTGTACAAGTAAAAATTCTTACTTTTGTTTCCATACAGAGGACTCCAAGGGAATTAGGAAAAAATACAGAGTTCAATGACTGTCCAAAAAGCTCAGCTCCAAATTGTCCTAAAACATTCCTTCCAACAAGCTCTCTTATATCTGTCACATTCTCTGTTACTGGGGCTTTTTTCACCTATAATTAAAGAATAAAAAAAAATAAATACTTACAGAGGTTGAGCTATATGTATGTTAAGGACATTGAATGTTTCCAATAATGTTCCTAAAATATTTTATCATGAAAACTTTAATGTTTCAATCTAAATTTGCTTCTTATTGTAGTTCCATCTTGCTTCTAGAGTCAATGTTTAAAAAATTTAGAATCTTTATTTTCTCTGCAAATATTCACTTTTCTTCCTTTCTTGTCAATAGAAAGTAAAGTTTGTGAATCCCTCCAAATCTTATTTGCTTTCAAGTGCACATGACCTAAATTTGAGATTATTTGCCATTTTTGCATAATAAATTTTTTTAATTAAAAATTAATATTCTCTTTTAATAAACTTTCATAGAATAAAATAAACTAGCAAATTCAAAGAATTGTGGTCCCCTGCTTTCGGTGTATTTGTGGGTGAAATGTTATTTTTTATGACATTGTGTCTTATATGAACACCCTATCATATGTCATTTATTTAGAAATTATCATTGACGTTGATTCTTTATTTTTTTCAAATAAGGTCAATCGTGAAGGTCAATGGTAAAAAAATCATAGCATGCTCGGAATTATCTTGTCACAGACCTTATGATCATTTCATACATGCTAATTTTGGAAGAGACATTCGTCCTCATCATAACCATAAACTTAGTAAGTTTATTTAATACCCAGGAACAGAAAATATTTTCAAAGAATTAATGTATTTTCACTATATGATCTATATAGCCCCACCCTGCTAACACCAGAAACCCTGACCCCGGGGCAATAAAATACACAATTTTGGAAGGGGTATTCTTCCTCATCATAATTATTTACTAAGTTAGTTTGTTTAATACCCAGGAACATAGAGGAAGATTTCCAAAGAAATAATGCATTTTCACTATATGATCTATATAGCCCTTTCTTAGCACTAGAACCCCTGTCCCTTGGGCTGTGAATTTCACAATTTTGGTAGAGGACCCAATAGCCATTTCATCTATTCTAACAGTTTGACTGCTTGATGTCCAGGATTAAAGAAGATTTTTAATTTCATTTTTTAAAGATTGGATTAATTTTAGCCGTTTTGACCCCTTCCCTCAGGCCCCATGGGGGGCAGGACTATGAAATTCACAATTTTTGTTTCCCTTTACCAATAGATGCTTAATGCTAAATTTGGTTAAAATTGATTGATTATGTATTGTTTAACGTCCCTCTCAAGAATATTTCCCACTCATATGGAGATGTCACGGTATGCCGGTGAAGGGCTTCAAATTTTGACCTTTACTTGGCACTCAGGGCTATTGAGCAGTGAAAGGGCAGGGCTCTCACACCACTTTTTGGGACTGGAGCCGGGGCTGTTCAAATTGGGAAAATTATTGTCATTATTGGAAAAGATGGATATTAACCAAAATTCATTTTTAAAAATTCTAAAATTTCGCTTTTCTAGCATTTTGTAATCAATTTAACTCTTGTTTTGAATAAACAGTTAAACAGAACATACATGGATACATAGGCTATGGTATTTATGAAAGTACATAAGATTTGTTATTACTATCTTTGAGTGCTGATGATTTTCGGTTATGTCTTCAAGGTGACATGCAATTACCAGTCACACAGTCCCGAATTTCCTCAATCACATGGAAAATTTGCTTACCATTACAGCGCGAGATTGAACTTGCCAAAGCATGAGATTATTTCTAGGTGCAGCTTACTAATGTTTAAATGAAATGTCTCTTTTTGAAACCAAATTGATGTTTTTGTCGAAACTACATGACAAGATACTCTGCACTCATAGTTAGTACACATTTTTGTAAAAACGATAACCCACAACCAGTTTACGAATGCATTTGGTGCGAACTAATAAAATAGTGGTACGGTTTCACTTTCATTTGCAAATGTGTTGTTTGTTGGTTTTTTTGCGATTAAGTTTCATGGACTTTTATTTTTAAATTCATATTTTGCTATGGAAATTGGGAATTTTACACCTTTCTTTTGGGAAAAAAGGTACCTTTTTGGCATTTGGAAAGGGGCCGAAAATCTGCCCCAGATTTGGAGAATCAAAAGCCCTAGAGGGGCCTCGGTTTTTAAGGTCTCATCCAAAGGACCCAAAACTTCCACTTCAAAATGCCGAGCGCATGGCAAAGGAACAGTTGCTACCCATTTTAACGACTAGGTCAGTCGCGGCCGAGATACGAACTCACGACCTCCCTATCACTTGGTAGAAATTGGTTGAGTGGTTGCAGAAAAGAATATAAAAATGTTCAAACAATAACACATGGTGGAAGACAATGATGACAGACGAAATCAGACAGTTTACGCAAGTGACCTAACCATGCTAACAAGAAACTTCTGAGCATGCTATAATTTTTTACTTTGACCAAAAAGTTGAAAGGATGACTGCACTTACGGAAACTTAAAAATTGTGACATAATTAATTTTAAAAATGGGCATATTTCTTTTAATGGTAGAAATGTCCAATGTCTAAACTGCAACTTTATGTAATTACATTAATTAAAAGTTCGTATTTACGAAGTTCGAAGTCTTTTTATTGGGAGGGGGTCATTGCATATTCTGGAATCTCCGTAGGATTATGAGTACGCCCACCTTTTTACAGGCTTAATACATAGTCAGCGCATGTTTGTCTTTGTTCTCCTTTTTATGGTTGTTGTATATTTATATATATTACCTCATATTAAAAGGAGATCAATAGACAAACATGCGCTCATGGTTAAAAAGAGAAAAAACAGTTTCTTCTTGTGTTCACTTTCTCTATAGTAAACAGGCCATTTTGACCTTGTTACTTGTTGAATATTATAATTAACCACGTGATTTCTATACCCAGGTAACTCTGTGAATACTAAAATTCCACGTGTAAGAAAACACACATTCTGCTGGGCAATAGTGAATTTCCATATCTGTTTCAATCCATTCCCATCTAGCCACGGGTTATTCTTTTTTCTCTTAGAGGTCTATAAGATTCTTTTTATATTTATCTCAGATAAATGTCAGTTTTTTTTTTACTATATTTATATATTTTCGAGTGTCTCTATATGTTCGTAGTCTAAAAGAAAAAAGAGATTTATTTATTATGTTTTGAACCATCGCTTATCATGAACATCCAAAATAAAATCCAGTAAATAACAAGAGGCCCAAGGGCCTTGAATCGCTCTTCTGATAAATTGTGCAACCTATCACTTATATTTGAAACCTCTTACCCTAAGTATCCTATGACCAAAGTTGCACTACCTGACAAAGTTTGATGATTCTTAGCCAATAAGGACTACTTCTTGGTCTACATTCTTGGAAAACCCAAAATGCATCAACTTACACAGTTTGATTATTCTAAGCCAATAAATACCTAAGATACTTAAATATAGCCATAAAATGTCGAAAGTAGGTCACTGTGACCTTATTTTTGGTCGACATTCTCCGAAAACCCAAGATGCATCAACTGACAAAGTTTGATGATTCTAAGCCAATAAGTACCATAAATATAGCCATAGAATGTTGAAAGTAGGTCACCATGACCTACATTTTAGTCAACATTTTTCAGAGTCCAAATATGCATCTGCTGACTAAGTTTGATGATTTTAAGCCAATAAATAACTCAGATACTTTAATATAGCAATAAAATGTCAAAAGTAGGTCACTGTGACCTAATTTTTGGTTGTCACTCACCGAAAACCCAAGAGTCATCAACTCACAAAGTTTGATGATTCTAAGTTAATAAGTACCAGAAAAACTTAAATATAGCCATAAAATGTCAAAAGTATGTCACCATGACCTTATTTTTGGTCGTCACTCATTGAAAAACCAAGATGCATCAACTGACAATGTTTGATGATTCAAAGCCAATAAATACCCAAATATAGCCATAAAATGTCAAAAGTAGGTCACTGTGACCTTATTTTTGGTCGCCACTATCCGAAAACCCAAGATGCATCAACTCACAAAGTTTTTGATGATTCTAAGCCAATAAATACTCAAGATACTTAAATATAGCCATAAAATGTCAAAAGTAGGTCACTGTGACCTAATTTTTGGTCTACATTCTTGGAAAACCCAAGATTCATCAACTGACAAAGTTTGATGATTCTAAGCCATTAAGTACCGGAGATACTTAAATATAGCCATTAAACTGTCGAAAGTAGGTCACTACATTTTGGTCGACATTTTTCAGAGTCCCAAGATGCATCTCCTGACCAAGTTTGATGATTGTTGGTCTGAAGGTAATCAAAAAATGCCTTTTAAACAATTTGAAAACATATGCCTGCAAAATTCTAAAAGTAGGTCACAGTGACCTACATTTTCTTAAATATGTTTAAAGGTCCCAAGATGCAGCAAATTACAAGAATTGATGATTCTAATCCTTTCAGTGCCTGAAATAATGGGATTAAATGTTTTAAAAAGGTTAAGTCATAAGGTTCAAAAAGTAGGTCACGGTGACCTACTTTTAGGTTGACATTGTTAAAGGACCCAAGATGCATCAACTGACTAAGTTTCATGATCATAGGCAGTAAAGTGTTGAGGTATGTCCAGTACACGATGTTTTTTCGATATTGTCGACATCGTAAGAATACTAGTCCTTCTAATATCATAACATATTCAACAAGACAGTAATACCTTTGTTTATATCTGTATATAATATATATTACATCGTTTACCAATATTATGTAAACATCTTGTTAACATTGCCTTCTTATTATCTTGTTTACATCGTTCACATCGTCGACATCGCAATGTTGGACGATATCAAGTCTACATCGTGTCAATATTGCCCTACCTATTTTTCTTGTTTACATCGTTAACATCGTCAACATTGCAATGTTGGTCATTATCGAGTCGACATCGTGTCAACATTGAATTGTTTGGATCTTTGTTTACATTGTTCACATCGTCGACATCGCAATGTTGGACGATATCGGGTAGATAAGTCTTATTTCCCGATATTTGCAGAGAGGTGGGGTAAGAAAACAACAAATTATTTTATTGTAACGCAGTTTATAAGCTTTATGACATTGCCTTTCATTTGGAAATAGACCAAACTCTTTAACAAATGACTTTAAAGTACTTGTACACAGATTTGAAGTTATTATTTTCTTTATAATATTACGACTTTTATATTTTAATAGCATTTTACACAAAAATCAATCAAAAATCTTATTTCATATAAAAGATATTAAAATTTCAAATTTTTGGCGGGTTTGATTGACACATCCATGCACTTTCACAAATTTATTTTATTCTTAATCCTAAGGAAAAGTGACAATCTTGTTGTGTATAAATGAAAAATATTAATACTAGGGCTGTCACGGTTCCAAAATTTTTCGGGTCGGGTCTAGGGCTGTCACGGTTAACCGAAAACTCGGTTAACCGCTCCGAAATGGCATTCGGTTCGGTTCGAGTCAGGTTTTCCGGAATTCGGATCGGTTTTTTTATCTTTTATATAATACTAATTTGCTTGCAACACGCGTTGTGATTGGTTGTTTATTTCAATGAAGGGTTCTTTAACCAATAAAAATACAGGTTACATCGAAGACATTTAAACATGGCATACCGTAATTGTTTTGTCAACCACGTCCCCTTCTTTCAAAAACGTGAAGTATTCCCACACTTGTGATTTGGTGATAACTCTAGTCCATAACTATATTTATTTTATTTTAAACGAGAAGTTTATTACTTTGTGTTATTTTTTGCTACATTTAGCAACTTGTTCTGTTGAATAAAATGGATAGAAATTTGTGTCAGCAAAATAGTACTTTCTACAATGTCCTTAATCCTTATTATCCTTTGATATATATAAAGATGTTTTATTTAAATTCTCAAAATGAAAACCGAACCGAAAAAACCGAAAACCGAGAATTTATTTTCTGAACCGAACCGAACCGAAAAATGTCTGAACCGTGGCAGCCCTAGTCGGGTCGGTTCTGATTTATTCAAGTTCGGTTTCGGGTTTCTCGGGTCGGGTAGGTAATAGAAGAAAGCTCATGATTTGTATTATTTCCACATTAAATCTTAGAAATTGCAACATTATAACTAGTTTAAAGTAGCCTCCTAGCTGACTAGACAACAATTGTACCAATTAAATTATTTAAATCACCTTTCAGGGTTTCAGATTGAAATAACTTTTCAGTAATTATAAGACATCTGGCATATTTACCAGAAAAGTTATAGGCCATTCTGTCCTAATCTTCCTAAACTTATAGGCCAATAGAAAAGTTAAACTAACTCAGATTTCTGTCAGCCTTTAACAAAATAGTCATTTTATTACATTAAATATTCAAATATGAATACTAATTTTCCTTTTAATAAGGTGGAAATATTATTTTGTTTCCTTTTAAACAAAATAAATATATTGAAACAGAATGGGGATTGTTTTTTTTTAAATTCCATTCAATGGGTATTTAACTTATATTAGTCCTACCTTTTCTTACTTGTACATGTATTTATTTCTTGTGAATATGATTTTTAAAAATAGTAATCCAAAAATAAAACTTGTATCTCTAATGATATTCAATGTATAATCATGTTTAAAGATTACCTAGACTAATTTTTTTCCCTTTGTAAAACTTTGCAACATTGTTCGTTTCCTGCTATTAGTCCGACCCCATATTCAATCATGGCGGTAAAAAAACAACATTGATGTTTTAAACACTCATTACTACTTTTATGCTCCTTGCAGATGGGTTTGGAAATAAAATTATAGAGTACGTATTTTGTCAAGATCTATTTATACCAAAATGTCATGGCTGATTGAATCGGCACTCGCAGAAATTAAAGAAAAACAATCGCACCTAAAGGGGGAAATATACAACTGGCCTGTAAATTACATACAGAAGATAATCGGCCATTCTGTCTGTTCAATGTCAAACTTATAGGTCAACATGGCAGGTGATTTTATTTTTTCCTGCCATTTTGAAATTTTATGACAATGCACTAACAAATCTCTCATTTTTGACGCCATTTTCATAGTAAAATCTACTCTATTATACATATCGGACCCGAACCGAATTCCAGAAAAACGGAACCGTACCCGTCCCGAATTAATTGTTCTGCGGTTCCGAGTCATTTCAGGTACCCATGACAGCCCTAATTAATACTATAATCCAGAAAATTCAGAGTAGAAATGTTTGAAAGCAAAACAAACTCGCAATATATTGGCAGTCCGTGCAGTTGTGGTAAGCAGATTGTGACGACTAAACGCAACCGGTGAATTGTAAACATAAACAAAAACAGAACTCTTGCCCTGTTTACAAAAAGTGTGTACACAACACGAGTGTGCTCGATTTGCTAAACTCTGTACACAACTCTTACTTCGGAATGGCAATTCTTGTGAATGAATTTTGCTTTCTAACATATATTCTCTGAATAAAATTATTTTTCTGGATAAAAGTTTTAATATTTCTCATTAATACACAAGATTGCCATTTTTTTCTTAGGATTAAGAATAAGGTAAAATTTGTGAAAGTGCAGGAATGTGTCAATCAAACCTGCCAAAAATTTTGAAATTTGAATAACTTTTATCATGTTTAAATATGAAATAAGATTTTATATTAATTTTTGTGTGAAATACTTTAAAAATCTATAGGTCGTAATATTATAGAGAAAATATTGACTTCAAATCTGTGTCCAAGTACCATTAAGGCAAAAATAAAAATAAAAATAAATGTGACAGCAAAGATTAAAATAGACCCAGAAAACGGCGTTTAGTGCAGTCATCCTTTGGTTATTACTTTTGCATGATATGATAGGGCTTAAATTATGACATACCATCGACTAACACATTGATAGTGGGTCCCACAATTCTCTGAATTGCTTTGTTTATGCATAACTTAATAACTCAAAAAGGCATTTTATCATTACATGTATTTAATTATTATAGCTAAGGCTGTTCTGAGTGAACAAAAATGGACTTAGGCAAGATATCTAAAATTAGTCTATGTCCTCTTTTAAACGAGTTACATAATTTAACAAAAATACCTCCACCATAAACAGGAGTTCTTCAGATGACATTCCTGAATCAAAATGATAGACCAGATCTGGAGTATTCCTCACTTTTTTCCCATGAAAACTAAAGATTCTCTCTGGGATGTGACTAAAGGAAAATATATTGTTTTAAAAGCAGAGCAAAGTCATTTTTATACAGTATTTTAAACTTTGAATAAAAATTGACCAGTATGAACAAATACTGTAAAATCACATATTTTCGTGGGGTCAAATTTTTGTGGTTTGGGGAAAAATTTTTGGTTCGTGGGGATTTGATTTCTTGGATCAAGAATTAATGATTTCTTATGTGTGTGAAATTTTACACATTGTTGTGGACATGAATTCGTGGGTCTTGTCATACCACGAAAACAACGAAAATTAAACCCCCACGAAAATTTGTGATTCCACAGTATGAGAAATGGAAACAAAGACATAAACAAGAGACCCAAGGGCCTTGAATCGCTCTTGTACGTATTACCTAATGTACCTATCAATTCTATTTGAAACCTCTAACCCTAAGTATCGTAAGACCCAAGTTGCATCCACTGACAAAGTTTGGTGATTCTTATTCAATTAGGACTGAAGATATTTTAATAAAGCTATAAAAAAAACATAATAAGGTCACAATGACCTATTTTAAGTTTGAAGTTTTCTGAGAATTCAAGATGCAATAACAGAAAGATTCTAAGCCAATAAGTATTTGAGTCGACATTCTCTGAACACCCAAGATGCATCAACTATCAAAGTTTGATGATTCTAATGTCAATAAATACAGGATATATTTAAATGAGGCCATGAAATGTCAAATGTTGGTCACCTTGACTTACTTTTGGACGTCATTCTCCAAAAATGCAAGATGCATCAATTGACAAAGTTTGATGATTCTAAGCCAATATCAGAGATACTTAAATAAAGCCATAAATTGTCAAAAGTAGGTCACTGTGACCTACTTTTTGGTCGTCACTCTCCAAAAACCCAAGAGGAATCAACTTAAAAAGTTTTCAAAGTTATTTTAAGACAATAAATACCTAAAATACTTAAAATATAGCCATAAAATGTCGAAATTGGGTCATCATAACCTACTTTTTGATTGACTTTTTCAAAGTCCCAAGATACATCTACTGATAAAATTTTATGGTCATCCATGATGAAGCAACTTACAAGATTTGATGATTCTAAACCTCTCAGTGTCTGAAACAATGGTATTAAATGTTTTAGAAAGAGTTAATCAAAGTTCAAAAAGTAGGACACAGTGACCTACTTTTAAGCTGACGTTATTTGAGGACCCAAGATGCATCAACCGACAATGTTTGATGATCATAGTCCTTATAGTGTACAAAATATGCCTTCAAATCAATTAAAAAACAAATGCCAATAAAATTTAACAAGCGGCCCATGGACCAAATAGGTCAGCAGAGCATGCAACAACTTTCAAATGATCGAATTTACTTCATGTTTTAGATGCTATCCCATTCACAATTGAAAGAGGCACCATTGCTCATCATAACTATACATATGGAATACTGAATGTCTTACATGATCAGGGGAATTGGAAAAGATTTTATAATGATTTTCTCTAGAAATTTAAAGGAAAACAAAAAAATATATAATTGCTCGCTCTATTTTTTCACTTCTTCGCCTGGAAATTATTTGATAAAAATATTAATATTATGATTATCAAATTGCTTGCTCGCCCTAATTCTTAGAGTCAGTTGTCCGAAGAACAAGAAATTTTATTGGTGTGGCCTTAATTTAAAAAACTTGAATCTCTCTTACCTAAGGGAGATTTTTAGCAAGTTTGGTTGAAACTTACAAGTGGTTTTGAGAAGAAATTTGAGAAAAAGATTACTGATAGATGGACACTCTGAGAGACACTGGATAAAATGTGATCAGAAAGATAAAATTAACCTTCAGCTCAGGTGAGCTAAAATACTGATTCTAGTTTCATTTACAACTAAATTTGAGCATATTTGGTCTAGCAATTATCTCTCTTCAAATTATTGATTTCTAGTGTTAATAAATTTAAAATGTTACCCTTTTAGCAGAAAGAATATCCTTCCAAATAATTCACAGTAGTTTTGGAAACTGTTTTCAGTGTTTTGACCAATATCTCTAAATTCAAATGACTCTTCTGAGGCATTTTCATCTTGACTTTTCCCTTTCTTTGCCTCCTTTTCACCTGAAGAATATTCCTTTTCAACTCCAAATAATACTCTTTTGGTCAAACTGATAGTCTCCTTTGCAAAATCAATTATAGCTGAATTCATCATTATGACAGACCTCAGTACAAATTTCTCCAAAGCTGGTCCAAATGCTCTTAAAAAAAAAAACAAGAAATCTATGAGTCACTGTTCACTAGTAATACCCCTGCTCTGATTTGAATAAACACATCATGTTTATATACACAAGTTCAATTATGATGATGATATTATGATATCAATTAAGATGATGCACAGAAAAATAAGAAGTTGACATCAGATTCATATAAAAACAAGAAATGTTTGTAAAACATGCATTCCCCCAATTAGAGTTTTTCAAAGTCCAAAGGGGCATAACTCAGTCAAAAATGGCATGATCATACCCAAAATAGAACTTGACATAGATATTCATCTGAATAATCCAAGAAGTTACAATGGCAGACAAAACTTTTTTTTTATTTAGATCATGTGAATAAAAATTCTGATAAATAAAATTTATACAATCCCTGCTGAACTACTCGGTATATTTTGTTCTAACATTTGCATTTGCAACAAAGTGTGTTTAAAATGGGTTAGGGAAAATCAGGGGCAATCTGGGAAATTCTAAAATGAAAACCTTTTTTTTACCTTTAAATTATTGAAATATACTAATGTATTCATCACAAACTTTTTTAATATGTAATTCAAATTCTATAAAATAATATGCTGAACTTCAACACGAATCCAGTTTTTAGTTAATTAGAAATCTCCAACCCGGTTCAAGTTTTGCTACACATTTATAACTCTGCTCCCTACAGTTTACAGTCTACATACAAGCAGAATCCAGCCAGGGATTAAAAATTCCGTCATTTAATAATACACACACACAGAATGATTATTTTTTTTCTCTAAGAGAAAACTATATGATAATTAACAAACAATTAAGATGAACTTAATTAGGGCTGTGTATTGAACCAAAAATTTCGATATAATATGATAAAATATTTTTTAAAGAGATATGCGATATATTGGATTCTAAATCATTTTAATGTATACATTTCAAAACAATAAAGTGTTTTTTTATTACCCATGTTTAAGTTCATGTCTCATTTTCTTTAAAAATAACACTTCATTTAAAACTTTCGATGACAGTAAAATCAACATGTTCAAAAAAATTTCTCTATGTATTTTGTAATAATTATAGAAACTGTTTTATTTTCTCTAGAAATTATATAATTATTGAAGGTTTTAATTCAAAAAAGTCAAAATATAACCCTTGGTGATTGAAATTCCCATCTTTTAAATAGAATTTGAAGAAAAAAGTCTGTCCGATACATATTGGAAGTTACTTTTCGATACGATATTTTTCTTGAATATCGATACGTATCAAAATATCAATATATTGGTACAGCCCTAAACTTAATACAATAGTTTACTGTTGATATAGTATAATAAATTCATCTGTGAAAAAATATCAATCCAAGATTGACCTAGATATTTTCTGCTTCCAAACATGTTACAACTACAGTGACATGCCAAAATTGATGCAACTTTTTCCCGAAGTTTTTTATGTTTGTTTTATTCTCTGTGCATTTTGATAGATAATTCAAAATCAAAACACTTTTAAAAAAAAATTAGAGTTGATACAAATTATATGGGGTATGATTTCCCCTTGCACCCAATTTCAGTTGCTTCCCCTGTTTTAACTCTCTAGTGTTTTAACTGTAAACAATGGAGAGCAGACGACAAGAAATGTCAGAGGAGCAAAGAAAACTCGCTATAGATTTGTATCTACGAGGCGAAAAACAAAGTGATTTGGCAGAAATATTTTCTGTGAATAAATCTACAATATCTAGACTTGTGAAGAAATATAATAATGGGGAAAGTATGGAAAAGAGTTCCAATAGAGTTAGGAAGAGTCTAATTGATGAGAGGGGTGACAGAATTTTGATTCGGACTGTGAAGAAAAATATGACATACTACATACTTTGAAAGAAATTGTGGATAATTTCAACCAACATGCTACTGACAAAGTGTCTGTTAGGACTGTTCAGAGGAAACTCCCTTCTCATGGAAAACATAGACACAAAGTAAGGAAGACCCTCACTGTATCAGAAGTGAACCGAAAACGCCGTGTTCAATGGTGTAAACATATTTTAAAAATCAGAAAGTTGATGACTATTGGAGAAAAGTGATTTTTTCAGATGAAACTCAGATAGTGATATCAAATGAAAATCGTCTGTATGTGTGGAGAACCCAGGATGAAGCGTATCGTCCAGAGTGTGTTGGTCAACATGGCCGCAATGTAAAGCTGAGCGCTATGTTTTGGGGATGTGTGACATATTCAGGAGTGGGGACATTGGTTCCAATAACTGGAAATATGAACTCTGAGAAGTATATTGAGACCCTTGATGAACATTTATGGCCAGTCATTGCGAAACATTTTGGAAATTCGTCATTTTTACTCCAGGATGACAATGCCCCCTGCCATGCCTCACAAATGACAACAGCTTGGAAACGTGAAAATGATTTAGATTGTCTTGACTGGCCATCACAGTCACCTGACCTCAACATCATTGAAAATGTCTGGCTAATTTTAAAAATTTGACTGAGCAAATCACTGGCAGCAATTAAATCCAAAGATGATTTGATCTCTGAAGTTATGAACATTTGGTCCTCTCTAACTGTCCCTTATATTAGAAACTTATACCGCACAATTCCAAGACGATTACATGCTGTAATAACTGCTAAAGGTCACATCACTAAATACTGAAAATTTCAAGTAAGTACCTTTTGTAGTTTTTGAATAATGATGGTTTGAAAATGCAAGAAAGTTTGTTTTGAAACAATGACGTCAGGGAAAAGTTGCATCAATTTTGGCACGTCACTGTAGAACTGTCCAATAGGTACAAATATCCCCGTGGGTTTTACAGAGAAGGTGCCAATTCAAAAATACTTTATGGATCTAGAGGTGTTCACAATTTACTTACAAAAATTTGAAGTGAAATATAATTTCTCATCATATTGTTTTCTTAATGAATAAAACAAAGGTGCAACCAATTGAAACATCAATACTAATACATTGTAATTTCATTGTAAAATTATTTTTTTTTATTTTATTTTCTAATTTCTGCATTAAAAAAATATACTGCAATTATGTGTTATGTCACTCTGCAAACTAATTGTTGAAAAAAAAAATCATATTATACAAAATAAAATTAATCTTAATAACTTTTTATCAAATTTATTTTGAAAATAAATAGCTGGTCATCCAGTAATGAAGTGCTTTGACCGACAATAAATTACAATAAAAAGAATAAGAGAAAAGGGATCTTTAGTTTTTGTGCCTGATTCCCTGCTCGATTCCCAGAGATTACACATATTTGATAATGAGATGCCTTAATGTTCAACTTCCCACACCAAACTCATAAATCTTTAACTGGATGCATGTCCAGTCATTATTTCCAAGAGACAAATGAAATTACATTATCTTCTGTGCAATGTAAAAACTGTTTTTAGCAATTTACTTTTTAAAAAGTTTATATTAGTAGTTTTAAGCTGTAGTATTTTTATACAGATATTCTAGATTCTATGTTTCAAACCTTATACATGAGCCCAAAATGAACAAGTAAATTAAGATAAAAAATAAAACCTGTAAAATGCAAAAAAAAAAAACTAGAACTGTCCAAACGGGACAAAATACCCCCTGCTGGGTTTTTCAGAAGTTTTTCCATAATAAAAATATGTATCAAACACCAATTATGAAATTTTTCTTCCAGTGACCTTGAACTTCCCCAGATAATCTTGGGTCAAGGTCATGACACACCCTTAGGTCATGGGCAATCTTTCAGTGAAATGAGAACATACCAAGTTTATCCATAAGAAAGATATGGACCGGACAGGAATCATTAAAATTTTCTTCCAGTGACCTTGAACTACCCCAAATGACCTTGGGTTAAGGTCATGACACACCCTTGTGTCATGGGCAATCTTTGTGTGAAATGAAAATCTACCTAGTTTATCCATAAGAAAGATATGGACCGGACACGAATTGATATTTTTCTTCCAGTGACCATGAACTTCCTCAAATGACCTTGAGTCAAGATCAAGACACACCCTTGGGTCATGGGCAATTTTTGTGTGAAATGAGAACCTACAAAGTTTATCAATGAGAAAGATATGGACCGGACACCAATTATGAAATTTTTCTTCCAGTGACTTTGTACTTCCCCAAATGACCTTAGGTCAAGATCATGACACACCCTTAGGTCATGAGAAATCTTAGTGTGGAGTAGTAGATTTTAATGTCTTTCTGTAAGAAAGATATGGACCGGACACGATTGCACAGACAGACGGACAGCTAGACAGACAGACGGACAGACGGACAGAGGGACAGACAGACAGACGGACAAGGTGATTCCTATATACCCCCCCAAACTTTGTTTGCGGGGGGTATAATTAACAAAAAGATTTGAAGATTCCAGGTGCACACCTTCATATGTTGAATAATAAGTGTACAAATTTACAGATTAATCCTTTCAATAGTTTCTGATAAACGGTCCAGAAAAAAAACACAAAATAAAAATGACAAGAGGCCCACTGGCCACATCGCTCACCTGAGAAGCTTTGATAATTCTGTCCTTTCCTAGATTTACCCCTTGTAATACATATAGTGACCCCACCCTACCCCACTGATCATAATTTAGACAATTTGAAATCTACACTACCCCAGGATGCTTCCATATAAGTTTCAGCTTTTCTTGCCCAGTTGCTTTTAAGAAGAAGATTTTCAAAGATTTTTCCTGTTTATTGTAAATCTAGAAATTTTTCGTCGATTTATTTTTGCAAATTTGGGTCAAAAAGCTGTTATATTAATTTTTACTTCATTTTTATTTCTATTTCATTTCAGAATTAGGAAACTGAAATGCCAAGCTCTAGTAAGACCACAATTTAATATGTACACTACCCAAGGATGCTCCCACATAAGTTTCAGCTTTCCTGGCCCAGTGGTTCTTGAGAAGAAGATTTTTAAAGATTTATTCTATACATGTATAATTTTTTTTGGTTAAACTTGAATTCCCTATTGTGCCCCCCCCCTACCCCCGGGGGTCATGATATTGACAATTAAATATCAACACTGCCCAAGGATGCTTCCACTTAAGTTTCAGCTTTCCTGGCCCAGTGATTCTTGAGAAGAAGATTTTTAAAGAATTATTCTATATATTTTTTCGGTTAAACTTTGATTCCCTATTGTGGCCCCGCCCTACCCCCAGGGGGTCATGATTTTAACAATTTATTATCTACACTACCCAAGGATGCTTCCACATAAGTTTCAGCTTTTCTGGCCAAGTGGTTCTTGAGAAGAAGATTTTTTAAAGATTTGTTCTATATATTTCTAGGTTAAACTTGGATTCCCTATTGTGGCCCCGCCCTACCCCCAGGGGTCATGATTTTTAAAATTTAATATCTACACTACCCAAGGATGCTTCCACATAAGTTTCAGCTTTTCTGGCCCAGTGGTTCTTGAGAAGATTTTTAAAGATTTGTTCTATATATTTCTATGTAAAACTTGGATTCCCTATTGTGGCCCCGCCCTACCCCCGGGAGTCATGATTTTAACAATTTATTATCTACACTACCCAAGGATGCTTCCACACAAATTTCAGCTTTTTTGGCCCAGTGGCTCTTGAGAAGAAAATTTTTTAATAACCCCACCCTATTTTCGTATTTTCTTGATTATCTCCCCTTGGAAGGGGTCTTGGCCCTTGATTTTAAGAATTTTTATTCCCCTTCCCCCAAGAATGCTTTGTACCAAGTTTGGTTAAAATTGGCCCAGTGGTTCTTGAGAAGAAGTTGAAAATGTGAAAAGTTTACAGACGGACAGACAGATGGACGGACGGACGGACGGACGACGGACACCGGGTGATCAGAAAAGCTCACTTGAGCTTTCAGCTCAGGTGAGCTAAAAACTTGATAACTTACTTTTTATCACACAGCACTGGCATTTCCCTCGCATTTGCTCTTTCTGCTATTTCCTTCATTTCTTGCTTTACTTTTTCTGAAGTCTTTTCTTTATGATCCAGTTTGCGAACATTTTTAATTTCAGTCATGTCATAAGAAAATGTCAACATTTCCTCAAGTTCTTTGATCAAAATGTCTGTTACTTTGCTTATATTTGGACAAAATCCTTTCTCTTTCATAAAAGCATCTTTTACTTCTTTGACAAATGTGTCTAATGTATCAGGTTTCTTTTCATAAAAAATATTTATATACATCAGATCTTTATAACCCCAGCGACTTGCTGGAAAGTTTCTTGAATCATCACTTGAAAGGGGACTCTTTAAGACGCTTGAATCAACCTCATCTCCAGGTTCAGACCATGAAGCATAAGTTGAAAAAGAAGATGGTGTGCGTTTCTCTCTTGAAGGCAAGTTAGCTGTCTTACTAGAGCTTGGCATTTCAGTTTCCAAATTCTGAAATGAAATAGAAAACTGCGAATTAAAAACAGGAGAGGCCTATGGGCCTGATAGGTCACCTGAGTATCATGCAACAACTTTCCACCAATTGAATTTGGTTTGTATTTAAACCACAGGCCATGAAATTCACAATCTTGAAAGTGGCACCCTGTGCCTGGTGGGGCAACAATTTTGTCAATTTTGAATTAAGAAAAAGATAATACAAAAATATTATTATAACAGTAACTTGATCCGAAGGGTCGTATCAAGTTCGAGTTGACAGGCGCGGATCGTCAGATCAAACAGGACGCGAAGCGTCGAGTTTGATCTGATGATCCGCCCCTGTCAACGAGACGTGATACGGCTCTTCGGATCAAGTTACTGTTATAATGATAAATTTATTATATACTGGCCCCCTTATAACTAGCTAAATATATTAAAATAAATCTTTAGAGATAAATTGGATAATAAAAATCCATTAAACAAAGCATAATAACAAGGGACTTTTTAACGCGCAGGAAAAATAACGTCATATTTCTGCGTACTACGTCATCAGTTTCAGAGAGTGGTGATATGGATTCAGAAAACAACATGTTGGTGATCCGGAAAATCGGATCACGACGTCACGTGATAGCGTAAATTCAATAGTAAAATTGAGTGATACACATTAGGTATATAATAAATGTACCAAAGACGGATTTCAAAGCAACAATTCAATTTCAGAAAATAATATAATAACCCCACCTGAACACAAAACTCCCTGACCAGGGGCCATAAAATTTAAATTTTAAAAGAGGTATGTATCCTTCCTCATCAGAATTTTCTGTGTACTATAGAGCATTGCTACATGTGTGTCATTAGATCTATTTTTCCAATGATAAATTTCCTCCATATACAAATCCAGAACATATGTGATCATGTCAGGTCGCAGCCATTTTGGGTGCATTGATTAAGAAAACAATTTCTTATATACTTAAGACACATACTGAGGACACTTAACTTTAAGTCTGTCAATACTTAAACACTAAATCCATGAACTTTATGAATTACATGTTGTATTTCTAATAAATTTAAATACAACTTAGAGCAGTTAAACTTGGAAAACTACACAGCTTAGGTGATTTTTAAGTTTAAGGATGTATTCTTCTGATCATTTTACCCCAAGTGGATCTTCGTACATAAACATGTCGAAAAATTCAAACTGATAACAATTTACCAACAAGTTTTCATGGTTCACATGTTTAACTATATTTATTTTTAAATAAAAATTCTTTCTATGTAGTATTAATGACTAAGACGTGTGCAAAATTACGATATTTAAGACATAGGCCTACGAAAGTCAACAAGTAAAATTGACAGTCATGATCGAGACAGGAAGAAGATGGGATCGCCCGTTTCCAAGTGACAGGAATGCAGAATGGCACTACATTAAAAGAACCAAAAGACAGAATTTTTAAATATTTAAAAAAGTGTTGATATCACAATTAATCCTACAGGTATTTTTCTTGAAAGTGGTGTCCAAACATACCAGCCAAGAGCGCCAAACTGTGTTGACGACCTTCCAGTAGCAGTGGAAAAGCGAAAATGTAGGTTTCCAATGCTTCCAAACTTATTGAAAATAACAAAGTTTATGCATTATAGATACAAAAGTTTCAAAATACATAGTATACTATCTTATCGCAAACTCAAACATGGCATAAACATGATACATAATGTTAAGCCTAAAGGGTCTTCAGATGCAGGGCTAGACAAATAGCAATGCCCTACGCCTGGGACAACCAGTTTTGGTTGGTGGGCAAGTAATTTGATAACAGGTGCCTGTCCGCGGACAAGTTGTTTTCCAATTAACAAAAAAACATTTTATACAATTCTCAAACATATTTTATGTTATCGATTTTAAAGTATCATGAATCACAGCAAAGCACCTGTTTTCACTGATGTTGGCTACTGCATAGGCTGTACATACGTCAGAGTTGTGGAAAACTGTCGGTCATGCGGGCAAAACCGGCTTAAAATTCGCATGACCGGTAAAAATGCTATCAATGTCGGTTCAAATGACCGGCCCCTTTTTTGGTTAAAAGTTTTTTTTGTTTTGTGCATTTTCCATCACAATTTATCGTATCTTATATGCGATTACGTAATACCTTTTGCTTAAACGAGATCGAGGCTGTAAAAGAAAATGAAACTAGTATTGTTCTCGTGACCTTTTTTAAATGCACAACTGGGGCCAAGTTAGGTAGATAACATATTAGACATCGAATAGACGGAACTCCTCTAGAATTTACCCATTAACGTGTTGTAAAAATATGCATATGTCGTAAAACACGGAGTTATCGATGTCGTTAAAAACGTGGTATGGGAATTTAGACATTTTGGATAAACTGGAGCTAAAAATGCATTTCAACTTTGTAACCAGTTGTCCAACATGACCAAGACTCAACAGGAAGCACAAATATCAAAATTTTGGAAATTTTACCATAAATTGTGTTTCATTAAAATTGATTTATCAATACCAAAGATCAGGGGGCATGAAATTCACCATTTTGCTAGATGCACCATTCTTCATCACATATATATACTTAGATCATTGGCATAATACACAGGAGTAAAGAAAAATATTTTCAAAGAATTCATGCATTTTCACTATATAATCAATAGAGCCCAGCCCTAACACCAGAACCCCTGACAAAGGGGCCATAAAATTGACATAAACTTGAGCCTTAAATACCGTATATAGTCGCCTATAAGTCGGTATTTTGGGGGTTAAATAATGGTCTAAAACTCTATGTCCGACTTATAGGCGAGTCATAAAGAGACAGGTATTTTTCCGGGGGCTAAAAGGTAGTATTTTATTTGCATTTCCAGGGCTCGACATTAACTTTTTTTCCTACTTGTCTATTCGGACAAGTGAACAAGACATTTACTTGTCCGAACTTCAACTTTACTTGTCCGAAAATTTTTCAATGAATGTCTTGTTTTGTCAACTTGAAAACAATTAAAAAATTAAATGTGCTTGATTTATAAGTGTTGTAATTGATAAATTAGACAAACACATATAAAACAAAATTTTATCTAGATTTCCTGTCCTGACAACAGCATAAATGTTCGCGAGTAAAATCAATCAAATATATTCTAAACTCATAAACGTCATAAGATCCACGCCATGCAATTGTATGGCTGCAATTAATGAACATCGATCCCGATCAAGTGTGAACTTACATAGCGATTCATATCGGGATCGAAATTCAGGTTTAAGTACTGCCTCCCATTTTTATTGATAAATTTTACAAAAGTTGTTTTTTATGATAATTATTATTTGAAGACTTTTTTACTTAGAAAAATCACTTGTCCAATCGGACAAGTGCCCAGCAATATTCACTTGTCCGAATTTTTTTTTCATTGGTACCAGACAAGCGGACAAGCGTTAATGTCGAGCCCTGATTTCCGATGATTATCAAAGAAATTGTCTAGATATATAAGTTAAATTTTGTATTCTAAGGTTATATACATAAAGTGCTAGTATATACATGAACATATTTGAATAATTTATTTGCATTTTAAGTGACATTGCCTTTATGTTTGATGATTTAAGATTAAATATCAGTGTCATTTCAAAAAATATTAATTGAAACCATGTTAAAATATCAGCGGATTTACTTGAAGTTGTCACCAGATTTTGGCAAAAAATCGTACCAACTTATAAGCGGGTCCATAGCAATTCCCACAAAAATAATGTTAACTAGAACTGTCCAATAGGGACAAATACCCCCGCTGGGTTTTTCAGAGTAGGTGCCAATTCAGAAATATTTTATGGATCTAGTAAGAGGTATTCACTATTGTCTAATAAAGTGCCTTGCCACAGCATGATACGCCCATCAAATATTGTTCGATAATCATAAATTGGTTAGGGTGCAAGAAAATTAAGTAACCTTGATTAACAGATTGACACAGATTTCAATGATCTAATTTCCATTTCTTAAATCATATTTAAAATATTGCACATACATCTCTAGGAGACTTACAGTGTAGGGATTAATTAAAACAAATAATACATCATATAATTCTAAACTGGCTGTGTTAGAGCTTAACAAATATCCATCTGCAGCTTTAAATTGTTTATTGCATATTTTATGAAATAATGGAAATGCTACAGTCTAATAAAAAAAAAATTCTAAGTAAAGTGAGACATGACTGCAATTTGTTGCAAATATATAAAAATTGAAATGTAATTTTTTTTTTCAATGAACACATGTATAATTGATTTTAATTATATTATACAATACTAATTCAGTTTTAATCATACACTAAAACATCAATTTGTTTTAATTACATTACACCAATTGAAAGATCTTTATCTGAACTACAGCCATCAAGAACTCACAATTAGAATTAACACAAGCAACTATAAGGCCATTTCTTTTTGCCCAACTCCCAAGAGATTAATTAAAGATTAGATCTAGAGATGCTCTTGCCAGTTAACTCCCCACAATGAACTCATTAATTTCTCTCTAATTTGACATGCACATTTCTGCTATCAAGAATTCTCCTTGACCAGTGCTCGATATATGACCGATTAGCTAGGGGGTGTCCACACTGTGGCTCGAACCTACGACCCTCAGATTTAAAATCCAACGCTCTACCGAATGAGCTAAAGGGTTAACCCACTAGCTATTGCTAGTAGGAGCGTGGCCTCACTATATATAACGCATGGCCACTTTAAACTCTGTTACACTTCCCCCTTCTTTTTCTTGAGATTTCTTACCCCTAAGAAATCTCACACACGAGACTCTGTAAACACCACTCACCATGTGGGTTTTTTAGTTGGGCGCCAATATGACCGATTAGCTAGGGGGTGTCCACACTGTGGCTCGAACCTACGACCCTCAGATTTAAAATCCAACGCTCTACCGAATGAGCTAAAGGGTTAACCCACTAGCTATTGCTAGTAGGAGCGTGACCTCACTATATACAACGCATGGCCACTTTAAACTCTGTTACAGATAATTATGCCCATGGGACAAACTGAATTCCTCTCAAATTATTAACATTTGTTATAGAATTTGCTGTAAAGCATATAATAAAAAGTAAGATTTTACTTAATTTAGCATTTTTTAATAAGGATACAACTATATTTTTACATTTTTAGGATTATGAAATTTGAAATTTTAAAGACTTAGTCTTTTAAAAAAAATCACTTAAATTAAAGGTCACAGTGACCTTGAAACAGGTCGTGACACACCGTCTACCCAAGATGCATAAATCGTCTAAGCTTGATGATTGTTAGTCTAATAGTTTTCTAGTTATGAGCCAAACAAAATCACAAAATAAAAAAGAAAAAATGCCTGTAAAATGCAGAAAAATCATCCAATCATGATGAAAATCCCAGGTGCACACCTTCATATGGTGAATAATAAGTGTATAAATTTTCAGAAAAATCCATCCAACAGTTTCTGAGAAACGGTCCGGACAAAATCTTGTCTACAGACAGACGGACAGACATAGTGATTCCAATATACCCCCCTAAACTTCGTTTGCGGGGGGTATAAAAATTACAACCGACTTATAGGCGGACCAACTTATAGGCGAGTATATACAGTAGGTCAAATTCTGAATATTGGGCAACCCCAGCAGTTCTGAGAAAAAAGTATCGACCTATACTCCATAAATTTTGGTACTAGCAGTCTGCCCTGCATGTCAAACTGTGACTACATTTTTAGTGTGGAATTAAAAACTTACCAAGTTTAGACCTTCATCCTCTGTAACATCTTCTGCCTTCCTTTTATGAGATTTCTTTTGCAAAGACTCTTGTATATTGGAAACAATATCCTTCTTCACCTTCAAAATAAACAAAAAAACAATAGGAATGCATATTATACATAAACCATGCAAACAAAAGAAAAATGCATTGAATTTTTAATATCCTTTCACCCCCTTCCCATAGTCACACATTTTAGTGCATTTTAATACCGTTGCCCCACAATCACGCATTTTAACGCATATACCTTTACCCCACAATCAAAATCATATCGAACATGTTATTAAATTACTTGAAATAATTTATTCATGACATGGTACATTCATCAAACAAAAACCAAAGTACAGGTACGAAATACAACCATGTTGAATTGTTACTTATGTACTGTAGATCTGGTGTTCGTACGGCAAATATTGCAATCGGCTTTTCCAAAATTCGGCTGTACTGATAAAACTATTCGACGACCTGACTATCTGTATAAACGGGACCCACTGTATCTCTACTTTTTCATAGCAGTAATGTCGATGAAATTTATCGTAACCAATGTAATCACTGATTTTCTACTGTTGTTGTTGTCAAATACGTGCTTGAAATCTATGTACACATAAGTACAAAAAAAAAAATGATTCGCGATTATCTGACGAGATTTCATGACGAGTGACTTCAAAAATGGATACCCAAATGAACCAAAAATACTTTAGACAAAATTTTTGTAGAAAAGCGGTAGATTTACACATGAAATCGGTAGGCGGTAGATGGAGTAAAAAAGCGGTAGACTCCCGCCTAAATCGGTAGAGTTAACATGTATGGGTTTTGACTACCTGGTTATATTGATAAAGTGGACTTTAAATTTTTTACCAAGCTTGGATCTTCATCTTCTTTAATGTCTTTCACTTTTTCTTTCAATGACTCACGTACCTTAGAGGATGTATCTTCTTTAATCTGTAAAATACACCAGAACTCTAATTAATAATATTAATCATTAATGAATAACTTACTTACATACATCATGTACATGTAAACTCCTTGGGAAAAATTGAAAAATTAAAAGTTATCAGAGATGACCACTAAAGCTCATCTCTACTGGTCGAGGAAACTACCTTATATAGCTATTATTGTCACTATGCACAAAGCACTCACAACGAGCAATGGTTCAATCCAGTGAAAGAACCAAAAAGCATAATGGTCAACTACATATTTAAAATTTACTACAATCATGGGGGTCAGGCCAAACAAAAAAATAACTTTGTTTACTGTTTGTTACATGCTGAAATAAAATAGGGTCGGTAGGTAAGAATTTTTTTTTATTTTATTGAATTTTTTTTATACACAAATTCATGTGAATTGGTTGAATTAAAAAAAAAAGTTTTACCATTGTATGGTGCCTTATAACTTTTGTTTGGGCTTGTAATATGGGTGGTAGACAATATAATCTTTCTTGCCAACTGCCTTATAACTCAGGGAAAAAAAATCAAGTACTAACCCACAGCACTGTAGGTTTGTAACAGCAATAAAGTTACTAGTCTGCAGTTAAAAATGACCAGTCCAAATATAGGGGCAACAGAAAATGGTAAAAACTAATATTTTAAGAAGTTCATTGTTGAGAAAGCCAGGCCAGGTCCTAAGCCATTCCTTTTAAAGTTGAAGTTTATAAATTTTAAGAAATGATCTTTTCTTTTTCTGAACATATTGCACTAGTCTTGCTTTAAGTTATCTAAAATGAAGCAAAAATCATTTTATTTTCTTTTTAAACCATTGAGTATAATTGATATATATTATAAAAGTTTAATCACATAACACTTAGCTATCAGTTGATTGGGGGGTCATATACTGTATAATTGAATGAGATATCTGCATGTATTTACCAACAGAGGAGTGGAGGAAATTCGGATTACCAAAAAATGATCATTTTTTAAATAAATAAGTCAGGTAGTACTGCAAAATGGATGAAATTAAAGTGATTTAAAGGCCGAGATTTTTAACCGTACGGTTTTCTCAGGTAAGGGGAGGGACTAAATTTTACATGTTTGGCACCCCAAGGCATTGATGGTCGTGCAGACCGTGGGAAGCGATAATCCCTATACATGAACAATATACACAGGAAGTCCATGAGTATTACCTGTACAGCTCGTTTAGCCTACTTTTCATTATAAAATTAGTAGATCTCAGGATTGTATATAAAAAATATAGTTAGTGATGGGACATCGGTTAATTTTCATAATCAATCATTGGTTGGAATCAGCTACTGCTTCCGATGCGATTTTACCGATTATAATCGGATGTCATAGTTTGGTATATATAAAGCAGACTGTTTTATTTATTTCAAATAATTTCTTTAACATGAATTTATAAAATAGGTAATCTATTGTTTTCTTTGTTGTTTTACTTAATCTATACAATCAATGTCATGCATGGTTTAAACTTAACAAAAATTTCCACTAGCCAGGTGGTTTTCTAAAGTTTCAAATTTAGGAGCTTATACAGCTAAATCTACAATCTCTGTGATTTTTGAACCCTTTGAATATATATCACTGGGTCAATTAATTAAATTCTAGGTATAAAATACACTTGTGCATTTGTTTAAAATGAAAATTGACATTCAAATCACTTTGAAAAATATATTTCACATAAGTATTGCATCATAGAAAATGAAATTGAATTTAATTAACAATTTTACTATTCTTTTTTGCAAGGTTATATTCTTAATCCCCTTTTCCTGGTCATTGGACTATACCATCACATGAATAAGATATTTTTTTCAGTTTAAATATTTTTGAAACTAAAATGTCTGCAATAAGTAGAAGCCTAATAACACTTCAACTTCATAAGACTGAGTAATTGAGAATAATCTAATTGGATATCTACCATGTATAACCGATACACAGAGGAATGGAGAAAATTCGGATTAGAAAAAAAGACGATAGTTTTCAAGAATCATGAAGAACTGGTAATTGGATTAGATGTAGGGTATTAACGAACAATAGGACCATGTTACTTTTATTTTTTAATTGATTGAAAGTTTTAAGGAAAAAAAACATGGGGAAAAGCGTCTGTTTTAGTAAGGGGACTGGAATGGTCCTGCAGATTTTTAATTCGTCACGTGGGCGAACAAGTTATAAAAATTATGAGCCTACATAAAAATTTACTTGTGGTTCCTAAGCACTAATTAAAAGTATTAAAAGCACATGCCAATTTTCTTTCATTAACAATAAATATATTTTAATTAAATAATTCTGGAATGTACTTTATAAGAAGTATTAGTATGTTACCGATGATCGATTATGAATACTTAAAATCGATCATCGGAATCAGTAGCATTTTTTCGTCGACAATCCATGTTTTCCGATTATCGGTACAACACTAATTAGTTGGAAATTAAATAGCAAAACAATTTATTTTTGCTACATGTACCCCCAAAAAACGGTAGCACCAAATTGCAACAAACTTGTTGATGTAGAAATATAACTCACTCAGTCACTGGTTTTGTTTCTGTACTTTAAATTTAGATTTCAAAGATGAATGTAAAAGTTAAACTGACCGGCCAGTAACTTCCGGATTTTTATGACGAAAAAAAGGTTTGGGTCGGCGATTAAAATTAGGGTCGGTCGGGTAACCGTAAACAAACATATTTTTTTGTTTATGCCTCAGGCAAATTAAGGACACAATTTCAAATGCCTGCAGGAAAGTCAAATAACAACTTTTTAAAATGTTTTTGTAAAAAAAAAAAAATTAGCAGCCACCGGCTACTAATGACAGTCCAGACGCATGAAGAAGTAAACAAGGTCATCAATATTTGCGCAAATAAGACCTGCTCATTGGATGTCATCCCCACAGCGGTCTTAAAGAACAGTGTTGTCCTCTCTCTAATGCTGCCGACAATTACTAAGTTGGTAAATACATAACTTTCAACCGGGGTCATCCCCAGTTAATCAGGAAATAAGGGAAAAAATCCGTTGACAATTCAGTGTTTAAATAATGGACTAACCATTGGTATGAAAAAAAAATTTAAAAAAAAAAAAGAAAAGAAAAGTTGAGATATGACATAATACAACAGTTTCTGAATTTTTACGAAGATATTTTTAAGAAAGGGAGAACCTGTCGACTGTCTTACTTATCTTACTCGAAAAATATGTTGATCTCTGACACTAATAACTAAGAAACTTTGACAGGGAACTAAATAAACAGTAAACAGCAAACATTTTCTGACGTAAAATGATCAGATTTGGTATTTTAAGTTTATAAATACACTATTTTTCGGTTCACTTCAAACTTTACATGAAATAGACAGCAATGCAATATATTGCAATATTCATTGCAATATGCCATCAAATATTGCACTAAATTGCAATATAGTTTTTCTGGCGATATCCACCCCTAATAATTTACCTCGTTTAAGAAATTGTTCATACATAGAGCATGCTCTTGTGTATCGAATCAACTGACAGAGATATATATACTCCGTATGCAGGTGATGAAGGTATATTGCTGCATAATAAGGGAAGTTAACGATAGAAAAGTTAAAGTCATCACGTTTATCATATAGCTTGGTTGTTAGATTACCATTAGTGTCTTTTTCAAGTAAAATATCCAATTATGAAGCAGAAGTGTCAGACTCTGTGGTATCTTTTATCTCAAGCTCACCAGGATATATCGTGTCGACGTAGGAATTGAAATTATCATTATTAATTGACAATACGTCGTCAATATATCTAAATGTAGAGTTGAAGGCCACAGCAAGCGTTTTCTTCTTTTCATGCATAAGATTTTGCATAAATTCTGCTTCATATGAAAATAAAAATAAGTCTGCTAATAACGGAGCGCAATTTGTTCCCATGGGAATTCCAATAGATTGTTGGAATACCTGGTCTCCAAAAACCACATAAATACTGTCAATCAGAAACTCAAGCATCTTCTTGATCTCAACTTCAGAGTACTAATGTGTGCAATCAGAATCTGTTTAAACAAAATAATTTTTCAAATGACCAATGACAAGGTAGCTTTATTTAGCTACCAAATTGGGGAAGTTTCTAGTATGCCGGTCCCCAGCATCACGCGATTGCGCATGAGAAGTTATTTTTCTTGCAGTTGCTATGCAGAATGAAAACAAACCGCAATGTCCCACTAGCTTCAACAAAACGCATCCGATCAAGTGATTAGGGTTAGGTTATATAGTTTTTAAAATTTGGGTTGTTTTATAAATCCACTCTGTAATCTTTCTGACTTTGGGCTAATTTATGTAAATTTTGCTTTATACAATGAGTGCCTTTTGTGACCAAAAACTTGCATGAATCAGCCTGTCAAATCATGCCGATATCTTACACTTTGGTTTAGTTCATGAAATTTTTGCTTTACAAAGGAAAGTTTAAGAAATGATAGTTCGGCTAAATCAACTCTATTGTCAAAACATGACAATTTTTAGCAAGTTATTCTAAAAGCGACTTAACGTTAACTGCAGCTCGATATCCCGACCTCATAATCATGTCCAAATATTTAGAATTCCTTTCAAATCGATAATGATGCACAATTCAATCCATCTATGACTAGTAATTAACTAACATTTGTTAAATCCCTGTATTTCTTACAAAAATCACGCATATTTTAATAGCATTGCACTTTGAGTCCTATCAGGCATTTCTTCATTACGTCAAACACAAATGACGCATTTCACAAATATTTATGAGATTACTTCAAAAATTGATCATGTGACTACATTCCTAAACAACACAAGAATGAGATTTACTTCCTAAACAAGTACATATTTTACGAGATCTTTTAATTCTCATTTAAACCAGAAGTCTCTGTCGAGACAGTAGCTCTACTGGTTTTTACTTAAAACAAAGGAAAAGTAGCATTTGGGACTTAAAACTTTAAAACAGCAATGAATATAAAAATGACCCTTGCCGCTCGTCAAAATAAAAACCGATGCACAGAATTATGTATCTTAGTATAGTCTACCGGTACTTGTGTGCCAAGTTATACTGAAATCGGACCAAAACTGTAGAAGGAGTAGCATTTTGAAAGAATTTCACAGAAATTTCTATTTTTAGTAACATGGCAACAACATTCATCGAAATCAAAAACCGATGAACAGAATTATATATCTTAGTGTAGTCTACTTGTGTGCCAAGTTATACTGAAATCAAACCAAAACTGTGGGAGGAGTAGCATTTTGAAAGAATTTCACAGAAATTTCTATTTTTAGTAACCATGGCAACACCGTTCATCGAACAATACAAAAATCAAAAACCGATGAACAGAATTATATATCTTAGTGTAGTCTACTTGTGTGCCAAGTTATACTGAAATCAAACCAAAACTGTGGGAGGAGTAGCATTTTGAAAGAATTTCACAGAAATTTCTATTTTTAGTAACCATGGCAACACCGTTCATCGAAATCAAAAACTGATGCACAGAATTATGTATCCTAGTGAAGTTTACTTGTATGCCATGTTATATTGAAATTGGACCAAAACTGTAGGAGGAGTAGCATTTTGAAAAATTGTTTACAGACAGACAGACGGACAGACAGACGGATGGATGGACGGACGACGGACGCATAACTATCGCATAAGCTCTTCTGGTCTCTGACCAGTAGAGCTAAACACTGTGTTAAATAACCAGTTTTTTAAACCCAATTTTTCACAAGGAACACGAATTTGGGGTCAAATTTGCAACTTGTGGCCTCTTTTCAATTTTGTCGATCGCTCACGCGTTCGTCTATATATTGTACACCGTCTTCGGCGGGACCTATTTTAGCGCCATATTTATGGGGACTGGTATACTAGAAGTGTTCCCCGAATTGATATATTTCTATTAAAAAGCTTTTTCTCAGGGTGTGCAGACAATATCATTTTGATGCAGTGATCATTTTCAACTTTGAACTCATCTGAAAACAACTAATGAAAAAATACCTCTTGGAAAAACCTCTTTTTCAGCGCAATTGCCGGTAAAACTCAGTTTGCGACCGTAAAATCAGCATTAACGGACGCAAATACCAAATTAGAAGTTTAGTTATTCCCATTCTAATGCAATCCGAACATTTTCTCTGTTGTTTACATCTTATTTTGTTGAATTTTGTTACATGAAATACGTCACTGAGCATTATATTTTTGTGTCGCTCTATTATGACGTCACAATGAAAAAGCTTTCACGCTCGTTAATGCTCATTTTACTGCTTCAAACATTAGTGTATCAGCCAATCAAAGAGTGGTTTACAAAACAATTGCATTAGAATGCGACTTTTTGTCTCTTTTTAATAAAAACAAAACTTATGAATACTTAAATAAAAATAGCTAAATAATGCTACTTGACGAAGATAAATACATGTAAAGCTATGTAGGAAATTATACCTACGTAGCTAAATCTAGTGATTGTACTGGACCTGTTTATCCGAGATTCCTCTGACTCTAACCCCTGCTTTTATATTGTGACTTGTGCAGGGGAGAGTCAGAGCGGACTCCATATTGAAAACTGGGAATTTGGCGAAACCACCTGGTATCGTTACTCTGCCTACCATTTACAACTTTATTTCGCGGAGCTAACTCCCGAGACTCGAGAAATCAGTAAAATAATTATTTTTCTACTTGTTAATTGTCATTAAAAGGATGCTTCCACCGTTTAAACAGCCCTATCACCGACAAATGAAGCATCACTTGAACTAGGTCGCCTCCTCGCCATTTGACTGCTTTGCGCATGACGTCAGCACACAAATACACAAAATTCGAGTCAATTTGAAAGTAACATGTGCTCAAACCATGTGTAGGGCTTTCGGAAAAATATAAAAGTGTTGTGAAAATACATATAAAATAACATAATGATGTTTTATTTATTGATTGAAAAGGAAAGCAACAGTCACAAACGACTTTAATGCTAATATGTGATTTAAAACACCAAACATGATATTTTTACATGATAGTTTGTTTGTGTATTTGTGTGTGACGTCATGCGCAAAGAAGTCAAATGTCGAGGAGGCGACCAAATTCAAGTGATGCTTCATTTTTCGGTGATAGGGTCGTTTAATCGGCGAAAGCATAATATTTATGACAATTAACAAGTAGGTGAATAATGGTTTTACTGATTTCTCGCATCTCGGGAGTTAGCTCCGCGAAATAAAGTTGTAAACGGTAGGTAGAGTAGCAATACCAGGTGGTTTCGCCAGATTCACAGTTTTCAATATGGAGTCCGCTCTGGCTCTCCCCTGCACAAGTCACAATATTATAAACGCAGGGGTTAGAGTCAGAGGAATCTCGGATTATGGACCTGTGAATGTCAGTTTACAAAGAAACTATTTTTATACTAAGTCAGACTAAAATTTACCAAGCTAAGATTTTCATCTTTGGTAAAATCTTTTGCTATCCCTCTCCGAGAATGGCGAGATTTCTTTTTCAATGGCTCACGTTCTGAATCAGATGCCATATCTTTTATCTACAAAGTAAACAAAATATTTCATATCCGAGGTAATTAAAAAGACAAGTGCATTATAGCAGTTCAATAAATAGTCATCAATTACCTGCCGTTACATTAACGCCTTTGATAAAACCTTTTTTTGGGGAAGTCTTTGTTCTACAGTAAAACACGTTCCTTGAGTTGGCTGATACCCTATCATTAGAAGCGACGAAGGCTGAGAACCAGCTGTGAGTGTTGGTAAAATGAGGGACAGGCAAACACGGACCGGAGCTGGTCGCAAATGCCAATGTCTAAATATTTTGTCAGTCGAGCTGAAAATTTCACTTTATTTTTTTTTTTTACTATTTGAATTACTTATTATTTTAAATTTTCATCGTCGAATGATGTTTTTCAAGCAATGTCAGACACCTCGGCCCACAATGACATCTCAGATACTGAGATAGTGAATTAATTTTTGCCTAACAGTTAGGTGTCTTTTATTTGGGTCGACGTGTCAATAATTTTGGGCCGACTTTTAGGGTTTGTTTGTCAATCATATTTTGAAAAGAAATTGAAACAAAATTGAAAAATTTTAGAGAAATTAATTTTTTTCATTATTTGAACCTAACCCGATCACAAAAATTAAACTGATCCCGATCAAATTAACACAAAATGAATAAAATGGGAAATAATGGCCTCTTTGTGTATTTACAATGAAGAAATCTATTTTATTGCTAGGTTCAATAATGTTTTAACCCTTATTACACCTAATCAGACTTGTGTTCTCGGGGAAACGTTATTCATTTCCAATAATTTTACAGTTATGGTTGGCAAGCGGTATATCTAGTCTTCCCGACTCCCGACGCCCGACTCCCGACGGTCCCGGATTTGGGATTTTTAGCGATTTCTTTTTTTACCGGTGCACAGATTTTATTAAAACTTTTCATGCATATTTTCTGGGTTTATATGAATTCATTAGTGCATAAAAACTTTAGGAAACTTGTCTTTTTGTTACTGAACCAGATGTTTCACCTGCCAAAAAGCGTTAAATCTAGTACTCTGTTATAAATGTTAAAACCCAAAACGGGCACCGATGCTTTTGTAGAATAGCGATTAAAAACAACAAAATGAATAAGAATTTTTTCAACAAATAAGCGGAAAACCTCATTTACATACCAGATAATTTGTACGCCTAAAAACACCCATATAATTTCTTTTTTTCCGAGTATAAATCGTTCAAAGCCACATTATGTTCACAGGCTCTACGTACGACATTGGCATATATACGTCGGAGCCCCCCCCCCCCATTAATTAATTTAGTTTTATTTGACTTTACTTTTTGTTGACTGATTTTAAGTTAACTCTAAATTCTACTTATTCTAAACAATGACAAAATGTTATCAGATTACCAGTAATATTTTAAGGACCATGGTTTGTCTCCGGCTACATGTTATGTTAACAAGTCATGGTTAATACTAATAGCTTTGATTTAGAAGCAGTTTACAATATATATTTACTTTTTTTTTTAATTTGACAGAATATATCTCTCCATTTTCATTGTATCAGCCAGGTGATTAGGAAATTAATTATTTTACCCAAGCTAACGCTGCTTTAATAAAGCTTTTATAATAAGTGATTATCTTCTTCATTAACCATGTTAACAGGTTTAAAAGGAACCCGACTTTAAAAGTCATTTTGATGTTGGAATCTATAAAATTAAATTGTTCATACTTTTCTTACACCTTCAATTATTTCACTGAAACACGAATTCTATCTTTTTAAAAGAAGAAATATCTTCCCAAATAATATCAATATTATGATCTATGAAACCTCACGTCTCCGCTCATCGCTATGAAACGATAATTAATAAGCATAAATCTTAATTAAAAAAAAAAATAAAATATGTGAGTGTCAGTGCGTACAAATTCTCTAGCATTTAAAAGAGGTTTTCCAGTTAGTTGTTAAAAGATATATTCTTCATTTTGTTGTTTTAATCGCGATTTTATGAAAACATCGGTGTCCGTTTTTGGTTTTAACATTTATAACAGAGTACTAGATTTACCGCTTTTTGGCAGGTGATACTGCTGATTCAGTAATAAAAAACAAGTTTCCTAAAGTTTTTATGCACTAATGAATTTATATAAACCCAGAAAATATGCCTGAAAAGTTTGAACAAAAACTGTGCACCGGTAAAAAAGAAATCGCTAAAAATCCCAAATCCGGGACCGTCGGGAGTCGGGCGTCGGGAGTCGGGAAGACTAGATATACCGCTTGCCTGTGGCAGTTGGCAGTAAGCAGTCAGCAGTTGGCAGTAAGCAGTTGGCAGTAAGCAGTTGGCTGTCGTATATGGCATTCCATAATATAACTATATACACAGCTTTTCTTTACATATTTTATTTGGTCATTAACATCAAAATTTTCACAAGAAAATTTGGATGTAAATATTTTTTTTTCTTTAAAAAAATACAAAAAAAAAAATCATATAAGACAATTAAAAGCTAATGTCGACCTTTCAATGCTGAAACAATTGTTTGAAAAAGTTAACTCAGAGATCTATAAAATAAAAAGTTGGTGTGGCATACCTCCTTAACCCCTTACATGGCAAGGATTTTAAGCATTTACAGATAATGCTGTCCCGTCCTTACACCAGAACCCCTGACCCTGGGGCCATAAAATTCATATTTTTGGAAGAGGCACTCTTGCTGATAATAACTATGTGCTTTGTTAGTTTATTTAATACGCAAGAGCAGAAAAGAAGATTTTCAAAAAATTAATGCATTTTCACCAAATAATCAATAGGACCCACCCTTACACCAGAACCCCTGACCCTGGGGTAACAAAATTCACAATTTTTGAAGAGGCACTCTTGCTCATTATCAATATGTACTTAGTTTATTTAATACCCAGAAGGAGAGGAAGATTTTCAAAGAATATAAATGCATTTTCACTACATAACCAATAGAGCCCCATGCTAACACCAGAACCCCTGACCCTGGGGCCATAAAATTCACAATTTTGGAAGAGGCACTCTTGCTCATCATAACTATGTGCTTGGTTAGTTTATTTAATACCCAGGAGCAGAGAAGATTTTCAAAGAATTATGAATTTCACTATATGATTTATATAGCCCCACCCTAGCACTAGAACCCCGGGGCTGACCCTGGGGCCATGAATTTCACAATTTTGGTAGAGGACTCAATGTTCATTACATTCATGCCAACAGTTTGCCTGCTTGATGTCCAGGAGTATAGAAGAAGATTTTTAAACATTGCAATAATTTTTGTGGTTTTGGCCCAGCCCCTCAGGCCACAGGGGGGAAAGGACCAAGAAAATCACAATTTTTGTTCCCCTCCACCCATAGATGCTTTGTGCCAAAATTGGTTAAAATTGGTGCAGATCGAGGTTTCAGAGAAAAAGCTGCAAATGTTCAAATGTTAACACACAACGCACGACACGTACACAACACACAGCGCACCGCAATGGACGAACATGGATAGCAATAGGTCACCTGAGTAAATCAGGTGACGTAAAAAAACTGGTCTCCACATCCTACTGTGGAATTTCAACTTACTACAGTAAAACTCGGTTATAACGAAGTCCTGGGGACTTGTGAATTTAAATCGCTATATCTGTTATTAGTCCCCTACCGGTAAAACCGGAGGGGACTGTAGGTTTCCTCTGCGTCCGTCCGTCCGTCTGTCTTTCCCCGTCAGTCTGTCCCACTTGGTTTTCCGCACTTTTTTTTCTAAACGCTTGCAGATATTGAGCTGAATTTTGGTATGTGAGTGTATCTGAATGAGTTGTAAACAGATCAAGTTTGAATTTCGTTTCGCTTCATTGATTTTTGACAGAATTATGGCATTTTGAATATTTTTCATTCCCACTTGGTTTTCCGCAATTTTTTTTTAAACGCTTACAGATATTGAGCTGAATTTTGGTAAGTACATGTAAGTGTATCTTAATGAGTTACAGATCAAGTTTGAATTTTGTTTAAATTGCTGGGGACAGGTTTCATTTTTACTTCTGAGGATATTATTTTACGAGAAATTCAACTTACTTAGTTTTACATAAAAAGGGGTAGTTTCCATTCTTTACCGTGATTGATACAAAAATACAAAAACAGAAAAACTACACACAATCCCCCAGCAAAGTCAATAAGAGGACCTTCTGGAGTCACAGAGAATATCTTCAATTTATCCTTGTTTAATGTTTATCACTTGTGCCAGTCCAATATAAACATGATTCATAAATTCTAACTCTGTCTACAGAAAGGGGAATGTTTCATACATGATTTTTCGCTATTATTTGAATATAGGCATATCTGACATGTATATGAAAGGAATATGCATATTTAAATTTCAAATGTTCAATATCATAATAGCAAACTGTAAGTAACAAGGAATCAATACATCTAAATTAAACAAGGCCCCTGAAAAAAGTCTATATGCCATGTAAAAATCATGACACTTTCCCAGTCATGTTAGCTCAAGTATGCAATGACTTGACATCATATTCTATTATGACGTCATACCTAGGTAGTTCAGAAAAGTTACTACAGATTGAGCAGTTTGCTACTTTATACCTTATGTGTATCACTCAATTTTACAGTGGAATTGATGCAATCACGTGACGACGCGATCCGATTTTCCAGATCACCAACATGTTGTTTTCTGAATCCATATCACCACTGTCTGAAACTGATGACGTAGTTCGCAGAAATATGACGTTATTTATCGTGCACGTTAAAAAGTCCCCTGTTATTATGCTTTGTTTTATGAAAAATTGTTATGCAATTGATCTCTAAAGTTTTCTTTTGTTATATTTTGCTAGTTATGAGGGTGTATATAATAAATTTATCATTATAACAGTAACTTGATCCGAAGAGCCATATCACGTCTTGTTGACAGACTCGGATCATCAGATCAAACTCGACGCTTCACCTCTCGTTAGATCTAATGATCCGTGCATGTCAACTTGACGTGATACGACTGTTCGAATCAAGTTACTGTTATAATAATATATAATAATTAGTAGTAAAATTAAGGGATTTTCAATTATAATGATTTTATTTTTGACTTTTTGAAAACATCCCTAACCATTTTTAAAAAAATGATATTATACAATAAATTAAAATATTAAAACAAACATTAATTTAGATTTGAGTGTATGTGTTAATTAAAAACAAGATGTGTTTGTGAAACACTATG